TTATTTATTTGTCAGTAAGTAGATCGATATATGCATTGGCTATCAAATCTTCGCTTTTTATATCCAGCTTGGTCATTAGATCCTCAGCAATCTTTTGTCCATCGTTTGTATCTTGTTCATCCGTCAGGACTACCTGTAAAATAACAATAAAATGGTATTAGTATTGAACAGTCGGCCAATCCAATTTTTAAGAACATTATATTTACCTCTAATTCTAAAAAGTTCCCCAAGCCTTCAACTTCATCGATATGTACCCGGGTTTGACCAACCATGTACAATATCCTAGTTTTCTTCACAATACCCAAACAACCGTTTGATGCAGATAAAATTCTTTCGATACCAGCACAAGCATTCAGATCTAGAGATGTCTTTTCATAAGTGGAAAGTTTCGGATCTAGCGTGTTAGCCCTGTGATAATAAATTAGTTCCCCAGAATCATCCTACGTTGTAAATAATATTCCAGTCAAAGAATTAACGTTTGTAGACTAGAGTAACGTTTTGTATATTTTATTAAGACATTACTTGCCTCGAATCTTCGTAATTTCAATTTCGTATTTTCGTATTGTGTCACATTTGGTATTTTAAAGAACGTGTCATGCTGCTTGATTATTTTACCCTCGTCAGTAGTTAATTGTTTAACACGAGAAATTTTAACTGCCGGATCATCGATTCTTGCTTTTATTTCTATATTACGCATTGTCAATTCTCAGTCATTAATTTTTTACGGTAATCACTTTTATTTAGAGCACTTTTGGAAATGATAGGTTAGCTGTTAGCCGGTTAGCGTCTATTCTCAGTACATGGAATCAGTTTTCATTAATGCCACCTGCCACCACGTGGATCGTGGATACTCCGGTACGTGGTGCCATCTAGTCCACGTAAAATGGGAACGACGCAGTGTGCAAAAGTTTACAGTGAACAAAATTTTAAGTTTATAATATTGTGTAAATCGTAGTGAAATATGCAATGGGTAAACATTTTAAGGTAAGGAGGTTACTGTTTAAATTATCTATTGTTTTACGCTTGTTTAAATCGTTAGAACATTGTTTAACCCTTAAACCATCGGGAAGCCGAAATATCGGAATAAGAATTCACGTTACATGTGATTTTTTAACATTCTGGATGTAACTAATATCGACGATTTAACGATTGATTCATAATATTAACAGAATTTTGGCGACAGGTTAATATGAAAACATCTTTTCTTGTTTCTCATTTCAAAAAGTTTTTGTCTAATAAATAGTCAAAGACTTATGATAAGATTCTACGTTTGTTACTTAAATAACCTGAAATTGGTTTCCATACTATGGCAGGGGCATAGGTTTATAGTAAAACGATTAATTACAATCATTATTTAAACACGAAATTCATGTGTGTGTACGCATACCAACAAATGATAAGAAGTTTTATTTCAAAATTATTCTAATTATTTAATGGCTTATCTTTATACATATAAGTAAGTTCATTCCTAATGTATTGAACAGTGTACCTACTATTAAAGGGTTGGGGAAGTTACATAACTTTTATAACGTTTGCTTGGTACAGTTTCCTTTATTTTGAAGCAATGATAAGTTAGCTATCAAACTTTGAAAATTACTAATATCTCCTTGATGGTTAGGATATCTTAGCTACACAATGCAAACCTGACGTTGGTTTTAAACTAAAATATTACATTTATACGGTCGTTACACGTGCCCCGCAAAATCTAATTGAAATAACTATTAGAACCACATTTCAAATGTAAAAAGATATTGTAATTAAGAGAGAGAAGAGATCTCACAAGTTAATTGTATTAAATTCTATATTCTCAGTATTTTGTTATTTAATTCTATCACAGATTTGCAATCCTCGCGTTTCAATGCATTTGTACGGTCGTGACCCATGCCCCGCAAAATGTAATCGAAATAATTACTAGAACCATGTTTCATTCTGCCGCCAGACTGCAATTAAGCTTTATCACAATTATCTCAAAAACTATGTAATATTGTATAGCATGTTTCTTAAATTGTCGATTGTTATTGTTTGTAAAAATGCCGATATAGAAGTCACATCTACAAATACTGTTAACGAGGGTTAAAGCCAACAAACACAGAGATCCGTATCTCGCGTTGATTCGCGGCACTGGAATCGGTGCCACTATATTACGATCGTGGGATATCGTCTGTAGAAGTCCTCATTGTCGCCGGAGCAAGATCTCCGGATTTTCTCCTTATTCTCGGCCAACCGGTGAAAACTTTTGCGATAAACTCGACGGGAATGTCCTCTCGAAGCGTTCTTGTGTATCCCCCTTCCCCCTCTCTCTATCTCCCTGCGACCCGATCGGGTTGTACTTTTCTCTTCGAACACAGAAAACCCCGTTCCCGTAATCTCAAAGAAAGCATATAGTTAGTTACACCTCCTTCTTCCCTACGTCATTTCAGATGCCCAGATACGGGGACCAGTGGTGGTACGGGAGCCGAAGGCTTCGACCGGATATCTTAGGGATTCCGAGAATGGCCCGAGGCGTTTAACCAATTAACTAACTCCGCGGTGCTTCACTTTCGAAACCGCTAACGAAGAACCTAAGCGAAGGAAGAAAATCGTGGCGGGGGAGGAAGTGATCCAGATATTCGGTTTGGATTCACCCAGTGCATCTGCCTGAGGCTTTTTTAACCTCCCGGAGGACCATCGCGCCGTGCTCCTGTTTGTTTTGGTAAGTAACTCAAAATTAATCTTGTATATTACGGCCGAATATCGTTTATATTTTGTTGTGCAATGAGTTTGTTAATGATTAACAAAGACTGATTATTTCGTGTTTATACATAAAAAGATCCTTTTAAAACAAACGGAACAAATTTATTATAGGATTTAAAAGGATATTTTACAAACAATAGTTATGCTTTAATATTGTGTATAACGAAATGAAGATTGCACTTCATAATCATATTTAAGATTTGCAAAATTGTTACTTTATATCAAATAACTTCGTTCTTTTTCGCTAGTTTCCTTTTGTAATTAAGGACTAACGTTGTCTATCACGCGTCGAACTTTATCTTCAATTGGGACCCCAGTACTTTTTCTTTTTGTTTCTCTCCTTTATTTCCTCCGAAGTTTGATCCGCGAATCGTAGAGGGTAGGTAGCCCAACGAGGCTGCCAAGTTTTCATCTTGGTTGCCATTTAGCGGTTTGAAAAGTGCCTGGAGCAGCGGAACCGATAGGCAAGCAACGGAAAAGGAGAGGAAGGGTAGAAAGGGTCGGATCAAAATAGGAAAGAGAGATAGTGCGAAAGTCACTGGTTGTTAAAAATTATGCTGTTCTTATTACGTGCACCATTAACAATTAATTATGATTGACAATTCTGTTATCTACGTTTCTTGATATCAATTTTAAGCATGTGTGCGCTTGCAATATTCGTTGAAGAACGTTTGAGACTTGTTCTTTTTATACGTACATATTTATATCAATCTTTATACAATTAATGGTGAATATGTACTATAAAAAATTAAATTTGTGTAAGCCTGAACGAATTCAGAAATTTACGTTTGCTTAACTGGGAGAGTGGCTCCGATCTCTTGGATTTGGGAATAACATACAATCCCGCGGCCAGCTTGTCGCGGCGCGTTTATCAAATTCTTGTTTATCGAATCCGCGGTAAATTGGCTTCGAAGGTGGGCTCTCTAGCGAGATTTATCGGTTACATCCTGAGTTTCCATAGACTTTCCGCGCGGGACGGCCTCACGGCGCGATGCGACGTGACGGCATAACTTTGCATACGACCGATACGAGCCGCCTACGTGTCATCCGTACGTACGTACGTATGTATATGTATGTACAAACCGTTAGAGAGTCGAATCTCGTGATCGCGATAAGACGGTTCAGCTTCGAGGCACGGAGGCACGGCTCGTTGGCATCCGCGTCGTGAGATAAGCTACGACGCGAATACGAAAGAAGAGTTTCTTCTCTCTGCAAATTTATAGGGAATCATCCTCTTCCTTCTCACCGAGTTCACTCGGTTCGATCACGCGCCGAAACGTTTGTTCACGTTCACGTGTGAGTATCTATTTATAACATTAGAGTTCAAACTGCGCTTCAGTACGCATTTATTTATTCATATGAATGAAATATATTTGGAAAATATTTTATTCAACTAAATATCTTATTTTAATGGATTTTACTTGAGATTAACTTTTATAAAATCGTTCGATATCTATTCTTTTTATCTGGTCTCGTTTATATCGAACAGGTTCCGCAATACGTTTTGATTATTTCAAATATACATGCAGAGTAATTCTGTAAATGGGTGAAATATTTTGCTTTGGACAAAGCTTTCAATTTATTTGTTAGGATTACGGGCGATAACTATTTATATTAATGTAGTACCAGACATAAACTGGATATTACACAATGGTAAAAGCGTTATAAATTCGTGGACTGCAATTTAATTGAAATGTATAAAGGACTTAAATTCTTCCATTTCAACAATATTCTTTTATGACTTAAACAAATAATAAGTCATTAAAATATTGCTACATCCTATTTAGACGTCGCGGGTTTTGACCGATTGGGTAATTTTACTGAAGATAAAAATATGTGAACGCTTTCGTTTATATTGGTTTCACGATTGCATTTGCGCATGTAAAATTGATGAATGGTTGAATTATATAAATATATAAATTGTCTCGTGGTAAATT